TGTCCAGTGAGAATAGACTAAACATTTTATGTCATTCGATCATGATCATTTGAATAATCCAATCCACGTGCTTAAGATCATAGCATCTCAACATACACAATTTATTTATGGATTTTCATCAATGACTTTGTTATGAATTGGTTTTTCCTGAGCCTGCTAAAGTGGTGGACAAGGTGAAGAAATTATTCTTCTATCAAATATGAACATTGATATTCTTAAGGTTTAAATTGGATCTGAGCACGAGGGACACGCAAATTTAGGGATGAAACGATACATTTATGTAATTTGTACCTTCAAATCCAAATAATGATCGAAGTATATATTTCCAACTTTTTGGGAAGAAGAGTTGGTTTTCAATGTTTGGAGATGTGTGACTTACGATCACTTGAAGAATTTACAAGTGAAAATCGTCATTAAAGATCATATATATGATCTGAAAATAATATGTTAGGGACAATATTGTCAAGTAATAAAAATTCAGAATAGAAGTGCAAAAGGAAATAAATGTTGGAAACAAGAAGTGCAATAAACATCATAGTACTTGTCCCAACTTTGTCCCAGCGGCTAGCACGTTAAATAAAAAATAAAACTAAAAGAAATCTCATTACAAGTAACATTAGCGGTCATTATATGATTAATTCGATAATATTTACATGATTAAATAAAAAAAAATAGAGACATGTACAATATTAATTTATTCACAATCTGAGAAAAGTTTTGTTTTGATGCCATTTCATATGTGAAGGGGCCACTTCATTTGTTACTACCAATTAATTCACTTGCAATTGTCTCAAATTCAAAGGCTGAATTTTTTCATTTGTTACTGCCAATTAATTCACTTGCAATTGTCTCAAATTCAAAGGCTGAATTTTTATAGTCTGTTTTAAACAAGACAAAAAATTGGTAAAAAGTGTTTCCACGATTTCTCGAAAAGAATAATTTTGTGTTGTGTTAATCAACAAGTTCTCAATTCCAAGTTAAATCATCGCCACTAGTCATATCATATTCGTTATTGTAACATTAAATTTCAAATTTAACGACTAAATGGAGGTAAACTAAAATTCAATAAATAACGAGAAATTTTGCTTTGAAGTTTGGTAACAGAGCTCATATTAACGTTTCCTAGACTCTCTCTTACAAATATGAATTCGTGCCTGTAAATGGAGATGTACTATGTTGGATCCATATGCATAGTAAAATAATAGAGTAGACAGAGATGCTAACTTACTGGCTTAAACATACAAATTTTTCCAAGAGGAAGAATATCTGGGTTATCGAATCCACTGCATGTGGGGATAAGCTTAATGTCAAAAAGAATCTCAAGGACAAAAATAAATTAGAATAAACTTTGAGGGAGATGGATGGAAGCACTCCAAAAATTCAAGCTAGACATAAATGGGGAGTCCACAACCATATTAATCTTAACATTGATATTGGATGGAGCCCATCATCTAGGGCAATGGTCAATAATTTATTAAAGACCGAAGACAGCAATATCAAGAAACAAAAAATAAAAGTAAAAGCGTTAACAAATGTTTGATTATGACCCTATGTTTATTGCGAGTCAAAAACGTAGATGGGTTCCATTTCCCTTTCCCTTCCATCTTCAATACTAGAGATGAACTAATTGCATATGCTTGAAATTTAGATTGAAGAATTGTTTGGGTCTTGGAATTTCGAACAACAACTGGATTAAAACAAGCAAAGTCATAGATTAAAAATTCATTTTGTATATTGAAAACATTAAAAACCTTAAAAGAAAAATAAGTTCCAAGATAACAACAACAGGCACTTAAATTACACTATCAAAATGGGAAACTAAACTAAACTCTAAACCCTAAAAACAGTTGGCAAATAATAACATTGAAATGAATAAAAAACGAGAGAAAAAAGACATAAATTTTTTTTTATCTTTAAGCTTGAAAAATTCATGCATGAAAATGGAACAACCCCAACGGAAACTTCCACCTCCGGCAGCCGCAAAACCAACTTTGACTGCGTCACATCTTACGCGCGCGCGCTTACCTAACTTGGGTGGTCGCCGGCGAGTTTTGTCTTGTTTACTAAAATCACTGCAAAACCCACATGCAGAAACCTTAGGAGACGGCGGGTCTATCGCCGGAGACACCCTTCCGGTGCGTAATCCCCGTCCTCTACCATTGGATCGGCTTTTCTTTGTCGTTATTCCGGCAGAATTCTTTTCTTCAACTTGATGGATATCTTCTCTTTGATTTGCCACTTTGTTCTATTCACCAGATAAGAACATATCGTCCAAAACCAATCCTGAAGATCCTTGTCTCCTAAATGAAACTTCCGATCTCATCAAACCAGCCATCATAAATCACCCGTTTCTCTCTCTAGAGTGTTTTTGAATGAAACTTGTGAAATTATGGAGTATTTTGCGATGTGTTGGCTTTGCTTAGACTTATCCCACAAAGTGTGTGTTATTTGAGCATATTTATACACACGTACATGCAGAGAAATAGAGGGTGAAGGATCCCACAATTTCCTATGGGTTGGTTTAATAGTTTAATGCGCATGATCAATGTGAGTTTTGCAAAAAAAAAATATGCTTTTCTACGTAGAAAAAGCACCTTTTTTGTTCAAAATTGGTAACATATTTTTTAATTTTTGTTGGAGACAAAAGATTGAGATTTCAAGACGCTCATAACAATAATTAAATACAAGTACGGTGACTTTGAATTTGGTGCAATTGTTGATAAAGCGCTAATTGTATGAATATGTCAATAATGTCATTATCACATTATAGAATTATCATTTATCCTAATTTTAAATAAAGATGAGGGGCTTAAGGCCTAACGATGGAAAATGTAAATGTTTTTGCTATAGAAAAATATGTTGACAAAACTTTACTGAATGTAAAAATAGCTTCTTCTTCTTTTAAAAAAGAAAAAAAGAAAAATTGTCTGGGCCCTGTCCATGGCTCCATCCGTCCAGCAGCATTTGTCATGACAGAGTATCATATCTATCAAAGAAGCTGTCAAGTAGAAAGTATACCAAGCATTGTTGTACTTATATAGTCTTTATATACTATCAAACCAGAAGTTAACAATGTAGGTCAAGGAATCTCCCACACTCACTTTTGAAGGACCTCAACATGCACAATGTTGGAAGATTTTACACAAGGTACCAAAGATTTTTTGTTTGTTACTTCTTGTTTCACAATAATTGCTAATTCTTTCCGTCTTGGAAAAAGTGACATTAAAGAAACGAGTACAGAGTACTAAAGCTTCCTTCCACATTGTGATTGGCGTTCTGAGATTGGTTGGTGTACATTATGGAACGGCTTTAAAATTTTTGTCTTCACTCATTTTCTTGAACCCCACTTGCCACCAAAGGGCTTTGGCCTTTTTCTTGATTTTTTATGAATCCTAAGAAAAGAGATTTCTCGGCTTATACTTTAGGGATTGGGAGCTATTTATATGGTCTTGCTTAGATAAAATTGGAGATGGGCGTTAAGTGAGTCTTCAGTTTTTGTATGGTTTTGTGAAAAGTTGAGCTTTAGTGCTCGATAATATGCCTGAATGGATTCTGATATTTGGATCATCCAATCTTCAAGTTTGAAATTTTAGAGTTGGGTTTTCTATAAAAGAGTTGTGCAAGTGCAGTCCACTGTACTATGAGGTTTAAGAAGGAATAATTCGTGAATATACTGGCCTGCAGTGTGTTTTGGATGTGACTGTGAAGGCATAAATCCAATAGTAGTTTCTGAAAGGGCTTCAATAATTTTTTTGATCAAGTTCTGTTATTTGGATTCTTATTACTGGGAATGTAAATTTGATACAAGAATGTCATCGTGTTTCTAGCCATTCAGATATACATCATATACAGTCTGTTGTGTAAGTAAACATAAGAGCCAGGCCAGAGAAAAGAAAATTCCGGCTTTCGTTAATCTTCAAACACAATCATCCCACAAGCTGAAGAAAGTAGCAATTCACTTATTGTAAGAGAAATTCTTTTTCGAATAAATCCACGAGGAACTCTAATGTTGTTGGAATTATTGGAGGTTTGATGGTCGATTCGACTTTGAATTTTGTAAAAGAGTTGACTATGCAGGATGAAGAAAATGGTCTTTCCTTTGTCCTTTGCTCTGACCCGATCTAAAGTCAGGAGCTTTTAGACCTGGAAAGAAGTTCTTTTCAGTTTCTTTATGGTAAAAACGAGTATGCACATATCGATTAGAGCTCAATTATACAAAATTTAAGGTAGGAAAGAATGTTTCTCGAGAAGTCAGGAGTTTCTTGCATTGTAATGCCTTGTCATATATCACATTGTTGGCATGATGAGGTTGCAGAGTGTTGCACTGTTCCTTCCCTTCATATGGGTGAATGTGTTGCCAAAGAGCCCTAGGAAGCTAAGTTGAGGACACTTGAAGTTGGCAGTTGATAAGTGTATTTTATGCACTTATTCGGACTACATAACTAGATTTTTATGTTGTCAAATTATTAATTTTTACTTAACTTGTGTTAATTTTCTTTTGTTTTTAATTATAGACCCGTTTTGAAGCAATTGGAAAAGAAAATAATCAATTGGCTATTACGTTGAGTTTGTGGACAAAATCTTGCAGAATAAAAGATGGAGGATCAAAATTGAGGAGAAAATGAAGAGAAGAACTAACTTGCATTACACGAAAGACTTGAGCACACAAAACCTATTGGACTTGGGCTCCTAATTTGTATACAGAAAAAGGGCTTTATTGTTTAAGTATATATACACATGCAGCTGAGAGAAAATTGGGAGGGATACACGCACAAAGGCCGGGGGCTTAATAAAAGATATTAGACGGCAGAAAAACAGGAGAAA